ATCCATCAATAGACTCCAACGAAAATATAGCACATGAGGCCGCAGTTTGGCGACGGGGGGCATTTTGCACTCTCATTGCTCCACTAGTTCCGGTTTGCATACTTTACCTGATGAAACCTGTGAACTCTTGTGAAGCTGGAGCAAGCTCATCGAGCCACAATGGTGAAACCTGTCAACTCACGAAAAGGCTCTCTAGATGGGTCGACACGTCGATGGGAAGTAGCAAAAGTGCAAAATGCCCCCCCCCCTCCGTCGCCCGAACTGTGCCGCACATGAGCCCAGAGAGCTCACTTCGTCGCTCGGAATATGGTAGCCACTAAGTAAAGTTACACTAGATAATTTTGGCGACCATGTGGGGAATGTTCGAGCTTTTACGCTGCATCTGCTATTACGATCCTGCGAGGGAAGACTCATCTGAAGCCTACCCCAGCTCCCCCCTTCCGGAATAGCTCACTTTTGTATGGGCTTCTGAGTGGTTGCATGGCACTTCGTGGTCTGCACAGCTCAAAAACTGCAATTGAAAGGGTTTTGGCTAGGTTTTGGTTAGTTCGCAATGAAATATATGCAATGAGAAGGGGCAGAAGAACGTGTGGATATGGTATAGGTGGGTAAGAAGGTGTGGAAGGTATTTTACGCGCCCGCTATTCATCCAGTAAACGCGGTTCAAACACGGTTCTGCCAAACGAAACGTCATCAGTGGTCCGAGACATGTTTTTTTTTCATCTAGAAACTCGTGATTCGATCTTGCAGTAAATACGAGTACTTTCGATGTTCTGCTTTTTATGCTCCATGTTGGACCCACACTCTTCACATTTTTATTGTTCGAGTTTGTAGATTTTCTCCTCAGTTGTTGTACTTGTATGTTCTTCGACTTTCATCGTTTTGAGCGTGAAACGGTTCAACGTTTTCGAAGCAGAAGTGGGAAGTGGAAACAGGGTGCAGCATCGTGATGTGTGAAATGGTGTTGTCAGTACGACCATCCCCTCCACCTCCGAAAGAGGTCAGTACGACTTCCCACCCGAAAAATCTCTACTTTTTTCCCAGAATTTTCCGTCGAGGTGGGAAATTCGTCAGAATGCGGCTTCACCAAAAGGGATAGGGGCACTCACTTGGCGGGGGCGCGGAAAGCCAGTAACCCTTTCAGAGACAAATCTTGATAGGACCGTCCGCCACGTCTTTCCCTCTTGTATTCGATGAGAAATTTCGGTATCGCTATCGCGGAGTTAGCATTCCTGCGGCTATATTTAATCACTGAAAATGCATACGCAGGACGCCCGGCGGATAAAACCAAAAAGGAATCATTCCGCTGCAAGGAAATTTCAGCGAATACGCAGCCCACCCTCAAGATTTATTCCTCTTCCCTCCTCCCTTTCCAATTTCCAATCAAAAATCCTATTATCCTGGATTCTCGCAACCTCCTACCATTTTCCCCTCATTTTCGAAAGGATTGTCTGCCTTTTTCTCAGCGCTGACATGCACACAAACTCCTTTCCGCCTCCTCCACGCTCCCCCTTCACGAGCAACTGACGACTCTTCCACTCCTTGGATCTCATATACCCTTCGGCAGTCCTGTGTGTTTTCCTCGGAGTACGGGCGGCTCCCTATCAGACTGTTCTAATCCTTACAGGTATCGAGCGATCGTTTAAGGAACGTTCCCCCTTTTCGCAAACGTACATGAATGGGCAGGTTAGTGCCTGCAGCTTGCACGTCCCAACAGTTTCTAGGAACTAATGTCGCAATGACTAAGCCAGCGGATTTTGTATTGACCAGTCGTGGCTGGACACTGAAAATAGACAAAGTGAGCGTATTGCATCATCTATCATTAGGCGGAGTGCGTCTAGCATGCTTCGGCTCTACACAGAATTGTCGCTTTGTTCGATCTGCGTGCGCCGCTTTTCGCGACTTTCGGGGGAGACAATTTTGCTGTATCCATCGATCAGCGTTGCGTAAAACGTCCTACGAGACCAGGGCCTATAAACTGCTGTAAATGCAAATTTGACAAGAGTCTTGCGTTCCCAATGCGTGAGTGTAATTCAACGGAAAGGAATAAAGGAAATAGTTGAGTAGTTGCAAAATGCGCCCTTCTGGTCCAACACCACGTTTAGCTCACAGATGATCTGCTGGGAGTGCACCAGTGAAAGCGTCACGGTCTATCGTTCTCAAACAGCCACTTCAACGCTAACCTCATCAACCTGGAAGTCCACGACCGTTCAGAGTGACATTGTCATGATTTTCCTTATCATGCTTCGTTTTTCACTGAAGGCGGCTTGGAGGGCGGGCTCTGAGCGTACATCGCCAGCTAGGAACTCGGGTCGAAACCTGAAACAACAAAAGAGGCGTCACTGAACTTATATATTGCGCCATAGCGTTCATCCCTTACAATTTTTCGCTGCAAACCGGTACAAGGTCTGATTCGTCCGCGCACCACCTCCCGACGCCATATTTTCAACTTCTGCACCTCATCGCGGACCGTGCATTCAAAACCACGGAGGGATGGAGAGTGCTCAGGTGGCCTGGGAGAGACTACCAGATCTTATTGCTACACAATGAATGACCATTTGTCCGTATCTCGTCTCTGCCCCACCAAATAGTGCAAACCCTATTAATAACGGTTTTCACTGATTCCAATCAATGGCCGCTGGATGAACTCTGGTCGGGGGGGGGGGCGTTTTCACTGACCATACCTCACTCCGATGCGATGAAAGTCGAAGAACATCGTGGTATTCTGTACTTTTCAGTTTGACATCTCTCTCAATTCTTCGGGTATGTGACAGGATTGAATGTGAACTCGCTTGACTCTTTTATTAACTGCGTTATCCAATGAGACGTGCATACAATACAATAAAAGTTCGAATATTACATGTTAATAGCATAAATCAGGGTACTCAATATCACGCGGTTCACTCGACGGTTCCAGCGGGGGAGATGAAGAAGAGCACGGGATCTGTTGTAACCGGGATGGAAGGACTGAGAGGAGATATCAGGGGAAGGCAGGAGAGACGAAGAGAAACAAACAGAAAGTCAACATTGGGATTTAGGAGACGACACAAGGGCTCAGAATTCTGTACACTTCACCGGGCGTAGAGCTTAAAAAACATCTAAAGTACAATATTGAACACCGAGACGACAAAATGAGAGAAACCGGGGGATTTGGGAGATGTGAGCCAAATGGACCTTATAGAGTAGGCAGCGTTCAGACTTCGCGATGGCAGCGCTTCGGTCGTGCGTTCGACGCGATCGATGCGCATGCTTTCGACTGCATCGATCGCGTCGAACGCGCGACCGAAGCGCTGCCGTCGCGAAGTCTGAACGCTGCCGTAGCGAAAAGCGTTTTCAGGGTGACATTGTGGGATGGACCGGGATGGATTCGAGTGATGGTGCACGAAGGGAGAGGATGGCGAAAGACGAAAAGGGGTTGGTGGTGGTGGTGTTTATTTCGAGTTCCGCTGTTACCTTAACAACTAGCGGTATCTACTTAAATATAGGGTGGAGATGATGTTTGTGTAAACTATATGTACAATACAGACACAAATCGATCGAATCAATATCGATTGATCGATATTGATGCCATTGAGTTCTACGTGAATATACAAAATACAATATATAATAATATTTGAACGCGAATGAATGAATGAATGACGATGTGTG